CATAAGGTCATAATAGAGGTGAGGGCTATTCCAATACAACTGGTGTCCTTATAAGAAGAGGAACAGACACTAAATATCTCTGTCTTTCACAGCAAGAGAGCACAGAGAAAAGGCCACGTGAGGACACAGTGAGAGGGTGGCTGTTGGCAAGCCAAGAAAAGGCCTTCATAAGAAAATGAATTTTCCAGCATGCTAATCCTGGATTGGTAGCCTCCAGAACTGTGAGAAAAACAAATGTCTGCTGTTCAAGCCACCCAGTCTGTGCTTCTGTGTTATGACAGTCTGAGCAGAGTACGACACATGGACCAAACCCAAGTTCCTCTCGAAATGATGTCCTACTTCTGTCCTTCAGTTCTGTGCTCATCTGCCTTCACCTGGACTTTGACAGTCACTTCCTATGCAGTCTACCTGCACTGGTGTCTTTCTCTTCAATATTTGCTGTTCGAGAGTTCTTTTTAAAATATAATGATTAAATGTGTTCTTGCTTTGAAATAAAAAAAAACTAATTAAAATACGTCAGACAGCTCCTTATTACCTACAGGTCCAAACACTCAAGAGGGCCCATCCAGATCCACTGTTTCCTGTCCACCCTTGCCCCCATCCCCAGTGCATGAGCAAGATCGCATTATTCATGGCTCTGACAAAGACTCTCTCCTTGACAAAACTTTAGCTGGGGTCCTCTGAGGTTGCTTCGCCACTTGGCCTTGATCTTGGCTCCCTGCTGGGCCAACACCGCCCACTTTTATTAAGAATTCTGCTAGGTCAGTTCTGAAAGAAGCCTCCACCCTTCATAGCAGACTACCTTCCATATAGGATCAAATTTCTCATCCTCCATCCTCAGTACCCGATCATGTCAGGCCAACACTTTAACAAGAATCCTGTTGAGTGGGTTTAGCAAGAATCCTCCAACTCTCATATCTACTTTTAGTAATTTCCCTTTTGCTCACCCCCTTCATTCTGCGTATTGGCCATAAACCCTCACTTGTTCTTGTTGTACTCAGAACCGAGCCCAGTTTGGTACCGAGGTCTCTTTTCCCCAATTGCAATAGTTTCTTATGAATCTGTTTTCATTGCTTTAACTCCTGTCAGCCTCTAGATTCCTTTAACAGCTCCTTAAACTAAACTCTCCTACGTCTCCATGTTCCCCTGTATTCCTTCTGATTCCCCCCAGGCTATATGTCAAAAAGTCTTTTTTTTCTTTCTTTTTTTTAATGGCCCGACTTAAATCATACTGCTTTTGGAAGCCTTTTCTTAGACTCTCAAGTTGAAATATTTATTTTCCATTGGTGCTTCTAAGGTACTTTGTATACACATCCATTATGAATTGGTCAATTTTATTATCACTTCATATGTTCTTCAACTTTATATTTTCTCTGACCATTAAATTCAGGCCCTTTCACTTGTATTATTTTATTTTACTTTTACCCAAGGTGCTATTAGGATGTCAAGCACTTAGGAGTAACTATTTATTTATTAACTAATACTTGTTAATGTTAGTACAAAAGCCAACGTAAGGACAGTAAGAGGAATTAATGAAAGTCAAAACAACAATTATTTCCCACCCTCTCTCCAAAATGACCTTTTAAAAACAGCTCAACAAAATGGTGTAAGTGTATATGAATTAGGATTGGCCTCACTATAACCAGAGTCAAATGGATAAAGCCTGCACCTTTTAACTGTCTGTTATGAATTTATTTGTGGAGTTATCAGAAAGTCTCCAACATGTCTACAGATAAATCCCATTCTGTAATCTTTTCTTAGTCAGGTTAATAAGGAAATGGGGTTGGTGTTGGATTGATATAGAAAGTAAAGAAACTGCAAGATCTTTGAGTAATAAAATACTTAAAACATAACAAATCTGGCTGTTGGAAGCCCCCTTCTTTTCTTTGGGGTCATGTCAAGCTTCTGAGAAGACAAATTCAGCTGTTCCCCATCACCCATCATATTTTCTTCAGAAGTTGATCAAAGGAAAACCTGTAACCTTCACTATAGCAACACAAACAGCTCAAATCCTTTGCCATGCTAGCCAGCTGGGTACTCTGTCATTACATCAGTGTATTTTCACTGATACACCTTTTAGAAAGAAGATCTAACAAATACGAAAAATTAATAAAACACTGCTGATCTGTTTTGGCATTTACGCTTTCTTATCAGTGAACTATTGCAAGCCTTATTATTTACCAATTTACTAAAATGAACCAATTACTAATATGTTTCATATTATCTAAAAAACCCTTGACTAAGGTAGCTGGGAAACTAGAAACACAGAAGGTAAAAGACCCAACTCCTCACACGATTATATCCACTAAATGAGGGCAGTAGGCTAAATGAGCATTACTTAAAATATTACAGGAACAAATTATTATCATAGAGAAAAAAGTGGGAGAATCAGTGATGAAAATGCTTAAGGAGAACTGGATTAAATACAGTGAAGCAGGCTTTATTTTGGCTCAGTACTTTGAGCCATGCTTGTCTACCCTATTTGGAATGGAGATCAGAATGAAGAAAATTTTATGAACAACACCCTGTACAAATGAACAGAAGGACTGTCACAACTTTACTATTGAAGATTATGTATTTAAAACAATAAACGTCCTGAGTCACTTCCTGAATATAAGATTTTTAAATCGCTTCGGATTTGTCTAGAATAAAAGAGGAACTCCTAGGACTCCCATAGTAGGAATTTTCACTACAACTGTATTGCTGTTTAACATGCAAAAATGATCAAAATGTTTTTTTGTATTCCTTAAATTACATCATGCTTTCAAAAACCTTCTACATAATTCTCAAAATCGGAGACAGTTTACTTCAGGTGCAACACATCATTGATCTAATTTACAGACTATTAGTGCCATTGTTATGTTGATATTCTCTTTCCCTTGACAAAGCACAGCTAATGAAGTCGGACTGCGAAATGCCAGTTTTTTTTTAATGTTTAAAAGTTTATATCAACTGTTTATATTTTCATAGGCCTGGCATCTATTTGTTCATTGTCAGATGTGGTTCACTAGTTTTAGTGTTTATCTGAGTCATCTGGTTAAAGCTCCGATCACTGGGCCCCAGATTCAGTAAGTCCTGGATGGGAATGATAATCTGCCTTTCTAACAAGGTCCCAAGTGATGCTGATGCTTCTGATCCAGGGGCCACACTTTAAGAACTATGCCGTTTGCAGGTCCCAATTCATTAGATGGATACCTGGGTCTTTCTGTTGGTCTGGGGTTCCTCAGCCAGGCCCCAGTCTGGAGCCTTAAGGGAGCAGGAGAGCTAATTTTCCCACATGTCTCCAAAATAAGTCACCTTTGTATTGATTTCTAGGTTCTGCCATCATAAATCTCATTGTCCAAAGACCAAGAGAGTTTTTTTCACTTCTAATGTTCTCCACTGTCAGCCAACAATGTGTAGGTCACAAGTTTCAAAATGTGGGCCACACTTTGGATTTCTTTCCCTCCAATCACTGCTTTCTATTTTCCCACATAACTCATTCCCTCTCTTACATCATATCCTTGCAGTATCTTGGCTGTTTTCGCAGTCTTATTTGCCTCTTTACCCAAATGGACTGTAGCTAGCCTAGAAGGATATATTCATTCCTTGGTTCACTGACTCCACAAGTATTTATTAAAAGCTCAGCGTATAATAAATATGACAATAATTCTGCATTCCTGAGCTTACACTGTAATGGGGGAGATGCAAAGTAAACACGTAAACAAATGAGTAATTACGGTATATTTTAGGGGTGATGTGTACATTGAAGAAAATAAAAGAAGGTAACAGGAAAAAATGACTGGAAATGAAACGCATCTTAGCTACTCTGTAAATGCTTCTCTAAGGGAACATTAAGATGAGACAGAAATGTGATGGAGGCGATAATACAAGAAATGTAGAAAAGGGCATTATAGGCAGAAGAAGCATCAATTCGAAAGCAGCAAGATGTCCATGGTGTTTGAAGGCAGTGAGAATCAGAGGGAAAATGCTGTAAGAGGAGTTCAGGTGGGGGTTGGGAGTGGGCAACATTTTTCTTAAGCCTTTTAGAACCACATGGTTTACACACACCTTTTACACAGTCTAGGAGGCTAGCATACACACAGGATGAGAGCCAAAACTGTTCTTTTGCCCAACCAAACATCAGCATCATTTGATTGAGGAGAAACTGAAGACTAACAATAGAATTCACCATCTAGCCTTTGGAGTTGGCTGTATAAAATGCGCAATGAATCATACTCAGTTATTTCAGAATGTGGATACACTAGGTCTGAACCATTTGTCCGCTTCACAACTGCTGAGTTAAAGAACTACTCTAGGTATTGACACATAGTAGTAGTAGTTCTAGGAATATGCAATCCCATTCTGCTCACGAAAGTAAAAAAAAAATCTGAGTGAAGCGGGGCAAAATCAAGTCAGAAATATGTCTTACAACATTATTTCACAAACACGGTATTCTCAAATAGCAGTGATTCTGATACAACTGGCAAAACAATTCCCAGCAAAATAATAACTAGTATATGAAACACACACAAACCTTTTAAGCAATTTGAAGTCTAAAAGAGATTAGCCTGCAGCAAGAGCTGTGTGCTTTCAAAAAGCCCCTCAAAAAAAAGCATCAAGCTTATTTTACCTGATGATTAGAATTGTTTTAATCTTTCGATCATTAGCCCCCAGGCAGATCTGAGGGCATCTGTATTGAAAGGTATTTATCAGCTGGGGTTCTTTTCAAGTAAGGAACTTAAGTCTAGGTTTATAATTTGGTGTTTACAGATATTAATATTTGTCACCATGTAACCCAAAATTTGTTAAGCATTCTCACCAGCAAAGCAATTTTTTTCCAGCATTATACAGAGCCAAAAGTTTTGTAAGCAAAACCACCTTAGTTTTTAAAATGTTCCAAAGTAATTATTATACCAAAATAAAAAGCCTTTTGGTTTATACTGTAAAACTCCAAGGATCTCATTTAAAAAGCTGCTTTATTCACCACCCCCCATCATCAAATATGCTGACGGCATTACCTGTCTGCATCTACTGTCACATCATGAACTCCTCTCTGGATGACATCCCTGGAAGTGGCTGTGTCTGGTATTCGGTTCAGACTTCTAGTATACAGGTTCAGCCCTCCATCTGTCATGTACCTGAAAATAAATGCCTAATTAATCAACAGAAAAGTAAATGACCTCATTTGTATAATTTAACTTAATACACTGTGTTTATAATTTTTATTAATTATGCAAATAGGCTCTTTTATAGCTTTTTTCTATATAAACATTCTACTCACCAGGAAGTATCAGAACAGCTTTTCAAGTTTATTAGGAAATTATTCTTCCTTACGGCAATAAGTAGATAGCCTATTATAAAGCCATTCCTTTCCCCCTTTTGTTAATGATATTTTGAACAAGCTTATAGATAATGTAACTCCTAGCAACACTGGAGCAAGATCATTTCATTTTGTAAATACCATTTTTGAAGCATTGAAGGTCACAGGAGTCATGTTAAAATTCGATTAATTTATTCGATAAGTAAAACGTACACAATTGACCACTATTGTAAAATAATAACTAAGATGTATTAAATGTTTAAGATGTTGCCAGGAACTGTTCTAAATAATTTACATGTCATACATCATTATCCTCACATTAGATCTGGGTTGTTGATTGGGTGAAGAGTGTGAAATGGTCTTAGCACATCAAAAAGGAACATGAGCTTTAGTGGGGAAGACAATATATGGTCAGTTTATGCTGTATTTGTGGTGTCCACAGGAAATCCACATATCCGCGCACAGGAAGCAGTTTAATATTTCATTCTAGAGCAAGGTGGAGCAGTATGGCCTGGAAATAGTAATCTGGAAAACAGAGATGTGAAGAAAATATGCCATAACTATGCAAAGTTTTTCTACACAGAAGGAAGAGGAGTAGCAGTATAGGGGAGGAAGATTTAGAAATGTTTCATGAGACTATTGGGTTTTTTTAATGTCATCATCTTATAGCTTATAGAATTTGAACATGGCTAAAGTTATCCTAAGACTTTCATCATTGGAGAGATTTTAATTTTTGTTTGTTTGTTGCAAGTTTCCTTTGCAACTTTTTGTACTAATCTTCTCTATGACTATTACTTCTTCTTAAACTCATCTTAGCTAATGGTTTAGAAGTGTAGGTATAACATTATCAGGAATTTTTAAAAAAAATTTTACATTATTCTTTCAAAATGATCTCCTACCATTTATAGCTCCCAGACTACAGCAGAATTTTTCTAGAGGAACTATGAAATTCATGTTAAGTTTTTAAAACCTTCAGAAAAAAGGAAGGAAGAATTTTCAAGAAAAATGTAAATGAGGAATTTTCTTTATCCATGTGATGACGCTATGTAACTTTTCAGATAATAAACTCATGGTTTTAGTATGAAAATGTCCTACCAACACAAGTGTCTGTAAACAGGAATTAGACACCACTAACATTTTTAGTTCAATTAATACCTGTTTAAACCTATTTGATATTACCTGAAAAATTCAAGAAAAGGTTAAGGACTCTTACAAGGTCACTCAACCAGTCATAGCAGAATTGAGAATAAATCTAGAAAGTCGGCTCCAGAAACCATGATCTTTCTTTTCTTTGTAATATATTTTTCTATTGAAGTATAGTCAGTTTACAACATTGTGTCAATTTCTGGTGTGCAGCATAATGCTTCAGCCACACGTGAACATATATATTCATTTTCATATTCTTTTTCACCATGAGTTACTACAAGATACTGAGTATAGTGTCCTGTGCTGTACAGTATGAACTTGTTGTTTATCTATTAGCTCAAGCAGTAGAGTGCATGCTTAGCGTGCACAAGGTCCTGGGTTCAATCATCAGTATCTCCTCTAAAAATAAATAAACCTTATTACCTCCCCCAGCCATAAATAAATAAATAAATAAATAAATAAATAAATATTCTTATTGTTCAGAAACCATGATCTTAACAACCACCTAGATTTTGTGTTAAGCATTCTTTTGCTTTTCTTTATGGTTTTACCATATGGGCATGTATTCTTCAAAATACATTGTTTAGCATGATTTTGAACTGTATATAAACTGAACCAAATTATATATATTCTTTTGTGACTTATTTCCTTCACTTAAAACTACATTTTTGCCAATCATCTATCTTGATGTATATTCATGTTAGAGTTGTACAGCTTTGTTTGTCAAACGCTCTCCAGTCTATTAATCAATCTGACTGTTAGGGACATTTAAGCTGTTTTCTGTTTTGTTTGTTTGCTGTTACAAACAACTCTGCCCTGAACATTTGTATACACACACTTCCTTGTGCTCACAGGCAAGGGCTTATCTAAGATCTATATATAGGAAGGGAATCATTGGGTCATAAGAGATACATACACATCTTCAAACCTTACTAGTGAATGCCAAAGAGTTTTCAAAAAGGTTTCAAAACAACCTCCTATAAAACTCTACGGATAGGGATTCTCATGCTGTTTTTAATTTACAAGTTCCTTATTACCAAGCACGTTGATTATATTTTTATTTTGTTATGGGCCATTTATGTGTGAAATGGCTATTTATGCCTTTTGCTCATTTTTCTATTGAGTTCTTTGCTTTTCTTGTTTGCTTTTTCTTTCCTCATTGATATTAACCCTTTCTGAGTTATGTGTGTCGCATATGTGTGTGGCTTACATAGGGTTTTATCCTGACATCCTTCTCTTGCTTATTTTTATGTGACATGAATTCTTCTGAATAAAAAGAAACTTGATCCAGATTCCTTCCTAACGTCACACAGTAACTGTTTCTGTTATTTTTGTGTAGTGTTTTAAAATGCAGTAAGCAGCTTTTTGAGATTTTGGGAGTCTGTTCCCATCTCCCAGTTTTATCTGGACCTTTCCTATCTGCATGTTTCGCTACATCCTGTTCAATTCTGCTTCTACTCCTGGAAGTTCTCCGCCAGTGTGGGGCTCTGCCCTGGAAGGGCGCTGTGGCTGGACAGTCTAATGAAGTCACGGGAACTAGACTGCTCCATTCCCGTCAGATGCGACCTTCAGCCCTCACTCTCCCTGGCTGGTCAAGTGGTCCAAACCCTCTCAGCTTAGCTGCTATCTTCACATCTGCTCTGGGTGTTTCCTAGTCAGTTTCTCTTGGCTACTTGGGGTTCTTCTGTTCTCATTGTTATCAGCGGCCCAAAAACTACCCTCTGTTTCTTCTTCTGTGCACAGACGCTGAGGCAATGAGGGTCCTTTGGCTCCTGACTGTCGCTAATTCCTTATATTTATGGTTTGAGATGATACCTTGCCATCATCTTTCTTGTGTAAACAATGATCACGTTCTTATGGCTTTATTATCTAGTTGCTTTGTCTGCTTTTGTGGAGATTTGGAAAGATTCAAAAACCTCTGCTTCCATCAGATCTCCCTCGAATTCTCTTTTTACATTCAATGTACCTCCTTTCAGCCACTGTATGTAACAATTAGCTATTTTTATGACATGAACACACAGGGCACCTAAAGTGTTTTTTTTTAACCTCAAAGGAATTCTAGTTCAGCATCTTCCTGTAGATGAGCACAGATAATATTAAGGATTATCCCCAAGATCAGAGATGCTAGCTACAACAACTATCCTAATAATGAGTGATTGCTGTGAAGTCCTGTTACATTTGTTTGTAAAAGATCAACTCCTAGGAGAGAAATGCATACAAACAGTCATGTAGACAACTTCACAGGGGAGGCATGTCAAGATGATTACGAGTGTAGACTGGAGCCAGACTGTTCTCAAGTTCAACTCCAGCATTGCAAACACCAAGAAATTTGGAATTCCCAGAATGTCAATTAACAAATTTCTGAGTTCTACCTGAAGTTACTTAACCTATCTATGCCTCAGTTGTTTCATCTGTAAAATGGAGATAGTAACGATACACTTACCCTTTACAGATATGGTGAGATACAGATGAGTTCATATATATAAAATGCACAGAACACTGCCTAGCACACGGTAAGTGCTTCATGGAAGTTTTGGCTAGTATCGCCGGCTATTCTTTCATTACAATGTCTACATTCCCTAAAAATAACTCTCATATCTTGAATATGAAATGACTAGTAGCATTATGATTGGGAGTCTGTCGTTTAGCATGTAAACTCAGGTAGCCCTGCCCTTCCCAATGAAGACCACGCATGCTTTAGTCATCACAAAGGTTACTGAAGGGGAACGGATGGAGTGTCGGGGAGAGGCGGGATGAAAGTATCCACCTCCCTTTTTAAAAGTGTCATTCCCTAGACATTCTCTGTGTTTGGGCCAAGTGACAAAGCAGAATTTTAGGTTATATTCTTGGCCCAACTATTTATCACTATGACACTTGCAGATAACTTCAATTTCCACCCAATTAAAATATGTAACTTTCCTCCCCAGTTTCCCAGGGTGCTCCATTTTTGCTTCATACATGGGGACTTTTTCAAAGAGATTCATTATAAGTAAGAGGCCTTCCTCTGAATAATTCCTAATTACTGGCAGATTCACATCCCCAAGTGTTTAAAGCAATTTTAAGACGAGAAGAAAGAGATAAGCATTTGTACGCTTCAAGAAATTTCAAATTCTCAGAATGCTGATTAACTAATTCTCTGAGTTCTACCTGAAGTACATGAAACAAAAAAATGAAACTGCACTCTCATTTACTTCATGACATTCCTTGAGGTTACATGAGAAAAAAAAATCCTAAATTAAACCTCTTCATTCGTTGTTGTGTCTTTTGAGCCTTTTGTCCCTTTAATCACTAAAACATACTTGAAAAAATTGGGAACAGACAGTGAACTTTGTCACTCAGTTTTTTCATGAATCGTAGCACAGACATTTCAATGTCCTTTTTTTTTTCTTAAAGAAAACATCAGATTAAAATGTCCCCAGGATGTCTTCCCAACTTTTAATTCTAGGCTGAGACATCGGGTTGCATCCTCCTGGTACTGACAATGCGTATACCATGTTCACTGATGAGCAAGGAAGAGGTAGAGCACATCCTGGGTGTCCTCCCCACACCCCCAGTAACCCCTGAGCTGAGACCAGTGATACTGTCCACCGACCACATCTGGTCACTCTCCCTCCAGGGAAGAGAACGCTGAGTCATTCTTTAAATTTCACTGTTCTGTACTCTATCGTGGGAAAGACAAAATGTAGAAGGCCCAACAGGTAAACATCACCGGAGGAAGTTCTCATACAGGATTTGTGCAGTTCTTACTTATGCCTTTTCTTCTTCTTTTGATACTGAATATTAATAACTTTGTTGGCCAAAAGAAAACATGCAGACCACCAACGTATGTTTACAGACTCATTTGTGGGACTATCCAAGGCCTCCTTTGAAAGACCAACAGGGAACAAAAATGGAGAACAGAAATCTGAATTCTGAGGCAGGAAACAAGTAGGAAAAACAAAGGACATGACAATATTTAAAAAATTTCTCATTAGTGAGTTCAGCAGAGACCAGCTAGCTCGCATCAAATCAATTTCCTCTTCCTCCCGGGCACACAGCTGAACTGTGGTTCCTGGCCGTGCTGACAGTCAGATGTGGGGCACACAGCTGTCCTGGCTATGGAAAGGCAGATAGAAGTCACATGGACCACTTCCAGCCCTGAAGCATATGAAATACTCTTAACACCACGGTTCTTTCTCTCTTTTTGTCATCTGCCTGTTGAAATCAATGCCCAGGGTGACATCAGAAATCTGGCTGGATAATAGCAGTTATCTACCATCCAGCTTAGTCTCTGAAAGACTGTATGATACACAGTGCCCAACTGAGGATCAGAAACACCAAGGAGGGTTTTATGCGAAGGAGGAATTAACTTCTTGGTATTAAGATACCAAGATTTTCTGTTACAGAAGTGAGTCTTCATTAACACAGCTAGAGTCCTGGAAAATACAAAATGTTCCTGAGTACAGGTATGATGGTCAAATATATTATCATTAGCAGCACTCAGTTTTTTTTAAATTGTCTTTGAAAAAATACTTATCTAAGAATGTACATACACACACTTACACACATATGTACATATATTACTATTCATTTGTTGAATAAATGAGCACCTAGAAAAATATAAAAACACTAACACATGAGTGATAAGTGGGCAGGCAATGTGTCTATATTGTTCACCACTGAACACAGTGCCTAGAATGTTGTTTGATCCATAGTTGGAACTCACCAAATATTTCTGAATACACACGTATATTCATACATGATTCAGCTCACGATCCCTCTTCTCTATTCTTTTGCCAGAATTCCTCACGTCTCCCGCAATTTCTACTATCTCCTATATGAGATCATATACTATGATTGTTAAGTTATTAATCATTAGGTTAACAATTACCAATGATATTAAATGTCATTATGATGGGGATGATACATTTACTGAGCACTTACATTGTGACAGGCTTGGTGCTAAGTACAAGTTTGTGGGTTACTTCCTTCACCCCTAACAATTTCATGAAGATTCTGCAATTTTGTCTTTATTACAGAAAGGAATGTGGATAACTTAAGCTCCCAGGGGTCCGCAGATAGCAAATGAGAGACAGAGACTTAATTTAGACACTCTGACTCCAGTGGCAACTCAACTACTTCCTACCCAAATTAATGATCACCTGTCTCCCTAATGCTTGATCTTTAGAAACTGAGAGAAGGTGGCCACCGGGTGAGAATAAGGACATCAAAGCAGAGCTGTAAGTCTGATCAAAACCTCCTTTGTACTTTTAAAGGCCTTGTCATCATTCAGACAAGCTTTTCAAGAAAGAGGTCAGGAAGGGTTACTTGTACAGAAGAATGATTTCTGACACTGATCCTCTCAGATGCAAAGAACAGGTCAAACCCAGACTCACATGAAAAGTATAGATAAAGTTCATTGGAAAGCTTTTTCTTGCATTACAGAGCCTGGGATTTAAAGTCAGATCCATCTGGGTTCTAATGTAAGTCTAGCCTTTCCTTCAGCTTATTATGAATGGGGCCTATTGGGATCAATTTCCTCATCTGTAAAACAGGTATAAAAATACTCACCTCATAAGGGTTGGTGAGGGGCTTGGGGTTAAAGAATTAATGTCCTTAAAGTACTTAACAAGAGTGAAGTAGGTAATAAGTTTTCAAAAGGGCAACTACAGTGATTAAGAGAAGTGGTTTCAACAGACTATCCTATTTCCTCCATTGGGGCTCATCCTGAGACTGAACTAAATATTCCCAAATGCCAAAACACTATTAACAGTTTTATAATCACAACATTTTTGGAATGTAATAGGAAGCAGAAGACAAAAAGGGGATACAAAAAAAATTTAATACCATTAAAAGAGAATAAATAGATTGAAACTCTCAAATCTAAAATGATTTTCCCTCAAGCTAGATTGGAGGTGCATAATTGAAGAATGCCAGAAAATATGTGTTCCTCAAAGCAGTTACAGGCAGCTTTGACAAGTCAAAAAAAAAAAAATCAAGCAGCTCAGCAGAACTCCTCCTGTCTCCTTCCCACGTCCTTCACTACAAAATCTGTTACTGAAGAAGCATGTGAAAGTCACTCTGAAAAACACAGGGCCCATGTGTTTCTCTAAACTAACAACTGGAAAATTTAATGGATTATAATGAAGAGATTTTACAGAAATTTTGTATACTTTTCATGAATGAGCAGAAGAGAGGGCTAAAATACCCCCAAATAACTTTAGGTTTCTCACATTTTTTGTAACTTTATTAATGAAGCCACATTCCCTTCTTACAGCTAATGCATCCTTGTAGACACCTCTGTTCACACAATTCTCTTAGAGACCAGGGCTCAGGGCCACTTACCCACTGTTGATGTCATCAGTCCTGAGACTTTTCCCAAGGATATCTCCATCGCTCATATATCCACCAACATCAACTTCAGAAGACACGTCCAGGTCACTGCTTGCTTTCTCAGTCATGTCCATCTGTGACATGTTTCCTAGCCGAGAGACAGCAGCTCGACGGAGAGGCGTGGTGTACATGAACCTTGAGGGGTCTGTGTGAATGAAGCGACTGGTACCGCTGCGGGGGTAGCCAGCACCCAGGGAGGGAGCATCTCCAGCCTGAAGTCGAGGGCACGCCTGGCCCAACCTCCAGGTCATGGGAGTAGGTCGACCTGTCAAGTTGGGTATGGTCCTTCCATTCACTTCTGTCGTCACGGTGCTGTCAAATGTTGTCTCGAGGGTGCTGTCAAATAAAATAGAGAAATCACTATACTCTGATTTACGTGGGGCCATGGACCAAGAATGCATGAAGGCAGGAAAGCCTACACTTGAGTTACTTCTTACAAGTATGTCCATTTTCATGAAAGTCAAATTATACATTCATTTTAAGATTCTAAACATCTCTTCAGATATCAAAATGCAGGAAGGGACATTCATTCATCATTTAGTTTCGTTTTGTTTCGATTTGTTTTTATTTTATTTGCTTTAAAAGAAAGGCCATCATTATGTTTTAGATAAAACAAAATCTTGCTCCATGTTCTCAACCAACACTTAATTTAACCCTTCGTAGGCTTCTGAGTATCATTTTGGAAGTTAACTAAACTTAGGTTTGAAAGACTCTCTACCAGCCCTCCTCAGATGCATTTTAACTACAACTTCTGCTACTGTTACATAAGGCAGGAAGAAAAATCCACTCAGCTGTGATGGTGTGGTTGCAGCAGCTAATTCAGACTGGATGGGAAATCATATTGAAGAAGAGATGAATGGGAGAAAAAAAATCACTAGGTATGTGCTGAGAAGTCACTGGTTGATTGCCATGTAAAATTTAAGTGAGAAAATAGTAAGAGAAAACAAAAATGTCTTATTTCTCATTATAAGAAGTTAAGTGCTTAATATTAATTTTTTTCCTTTGTTGTCCCAAAGTTATGCAGAAATGAGGAAGACCTGTGGCTTATCTGGGTCCCACGAAGACTAGACATAGTCTCTTCCAAATTCTGCCTCAAATCTGCTATGTTTTTAACTGTTCTCATTCTTCTTGTTTCAGGGTCTTCACCTAGAAAAATAACGTAATAATACATTGCTATTCACGTCATTTACTATCCTGAGGATAATTATATACATATATAAGTAATGCAAGTTCCTTTTCTTAAAAGTAAAATAATAGGCAGGAAATTCCAAATGATTATTATCATCTGAAAATTATAATATTTTTCCCACAAATAAAATGTGAATAGTGTAATGTTACAAGTAATAATCTGAAGTGATGAGAGTGCAATAATACTCTGTAGGTCTATGTCATTGAGAAATGAGAGTCATTTGGAAACAGGCTATATAGTGCTCCATGTTTCTGAGCGTTATTTAAAAATCCAAAATTATTTGGATCCTAATTATTTCCATAATTATCTGCTTCAAAGTGTACTCACAATAACTGAGATAAACTTGACTTATGTAGCAAGTATATATTTGGACTCTGGGGAATAAGATAGAGAAAGCTTTTCTTATAGATGTAATATCTTTTATAGTCTTTTATTTTATTGAACTCATGACCCAATATTCAGGTCATTGGATGGATTTATTTTTAATTATTTCTCCACTTTCTACAGGGAATCAAAACATGCACATGTGACACTAGAGTTCCAGTGTGGTCCTAGGCATCTAAACCAGGAATGAGTCTACGCATGAAATAAATAGCTCTGCCAGGGTGACGAACATTGGCCTTACACAATCTCTATCTATCATTTGGGGGCAGAGATGCCATTAAATCATTTGTCTATGGCTATGTAAAAATTCCCAGGCCAGTGGGCATTGAAGCTGGCGAATCCGTGTAATAAGAAGAACCTAGAAAGGGAGGAAAGGAAACATAGTCTTAATTGTGTTCAACTTGGGTTCAGGATGATGTCCAGTGGTGAGAAATTTTAATAAAAAGAAAGAAGGAAGAAAAGAAAGGAAGGGAAATAAATTGATGAAGGGGAGAGAAGATAGGAGATGGAAAAGGAGGAAGAGGAAGGGAAGAGAAGGGAAGGGAAGAGAAGGGAAGGGAAGGGAAAGGAAGGGAAAAGGTGTGGAAGGAAAAGAAAAAAAGAAGGAAAAGTGAAGGTCAAAGTAGCATATATTAAATTCCAGTATGAAAACTGTCACACAGACAAGTCAAGGTGCATGTCTACAATCTGTTTTAAGAGCATAGGTAGATATTCAACCTGTTCACTTTTCTTCCAAAATATTCATGTCACATTTTTAAAACACACACAGAAAAACGCACCCGTTTAACATTTGTAATAGAATCCTAGAGTTGGTAGGGATTTCAGAGACTGTCCTGCCTCACCTCTCAGCCAGTGAGGAAAGAAATCTTGGTCTGACTAGGGAGGTGGCCATGTGTCTCTGCCTAAAGGCTCCAAGATCGAAAAGGCTTCCTCCTCTCCAGTAAGAGATGACTCTTTTCAATATTAGACTAATTAGGTCCAATTACAAAAACATTTCTGAGGGTGAACAATCATTTGCCCCCATTTAACTTCCACACAGTGATTCCAATGGCTCTGAAACCAGCTGAACAACTTTATACCACTTTACTATGGCAGACATTTAATTTTAGCTTCTCTTTTTGGGGAGTGGGGGTAATTAGATCGATCGATCGATCGATCGATCTACCTATCTATCTATCTATCTATCTATCTATCTATCTATCTATCTATCTACCTATCTATCTATTTTTTAATGGAGGTACTGGGGATTGAACCCAGGACCTCATTCACACTAAACACGTGCTCTACCACTGAGTTACACCCTCCCCCTACAGCCTCTCAAAAAGATAACTGCTAATTCCTTCTGCAGCCAAGCATGACTACAGTGTTCCTCATTCTTCATCCTGGATGGTTGCTACTCTGCTGTCAGTCAGCAAATCTCTTCCTTTTAATTTACAACTTATTTCAATGATTGACATTTGCTTAATAACTGCATTATTATTTCAAATTTACAAAGCATCGAAAAAACCTCCCTCAGTAAATACATTTTTAAGAATTAAAAAAGCCACATGCTGTAGACTTTCCCTACCCTAATTCAAGTCATACAATCTTTAACCTCATAGATTAACCTTATTTTAAAACTCAGAATTGTTAATAACCCTTAAGACTCTAATCATTTTTTTCTATGGGAAGTCTTCCATCCTTATAAATATAACAGAATATTTGAGAAATGGCTAGAAAGAAGTTGACCTCTTACCTCTAAATAATCTGGTAGAGCCTTGAAGAAAAAGGGAGATTCTGTAAGGAAATTCTTAAAGAGTAGGAAAAAGAAATATCATTACAGTCAAAGGAAAGGCAGAGGTGAAGAGGGGATTTTACTCAAAGTGGGCCAAAGAAACAGTGAAGGATGAGACAAAACTGGAGAAGCACTAAAGCTAATATTCAGTAGTGTATCTGAGATTTCATACCACAGAGAAACCAAAGATTCTAAGTAATGATAGGAGATGAAAAATCTTAAAGGAGAAAGTGTTGAGATGAATTTTATTGGAGATTAAGAAGGAATGCAAGCTGTTGACCTTACACAAGTTTCTAAAATACACCATCACATGTCCCCTGTCCCTGAGCCCCTTCCCCCTGGGAGAACTTTCACATTACAATCAAGCTGTATCTCAATCACTTCCCAACTGCAAAATATTAGTAACACTGATGTTTGAATTACATTCAATGTCTTTTTTTACATAACTTTAAGAACATTGTATTTTCAGCCATCCCATTTCACTAAGGTTTTTTTCACATCTTCTTTATCTCCCTTTACAGTTCCTTCTTCCTATCCAACAGGCATCTTAGATCCTTGGATCCCTCCAACTGAAGCCACTGTTTGTTTATACAGCTTCCCTCTTGACTCAGAACCACCACCCCATCCCTCCTTTGGTTTTTCTCCTCAGGACATCCACTCATGACACGGCACCACTCAGGACAATCAGACAAATGGACTTTTCCCTCCCAGCACTTACGGAGCAAAACATAATTGCTGCTTCATTCGTGTCGTGAAACATAATAACCAGATCAAAACTTACTGCAGGAAATGTTCTCAGTGACCCACAACAGGCAAGATAAAGTCAAATGCACTCACAAACCCCCTAAGAATGGCACTAGCCTGAAGTATCCTGTAAATTTGTATCCAGATGATGTCTAGAGAATTGGGGGTGGGGAGGGGATCGCAACTGAAAAGGTCAAATGGGAGAGCACAAGTAACATTAAATATTTAGGAGCAAATGAAAGTTAGCAGAAAACTGCACATGAGAAATTTATTTAGTCGCAAAAATGTTGTATCCCCTTTCACTTTTGTCATCTCAAAGCCAGCTATTATTCCTGAAGGAAGCCTCAGAAGTGTCAGAAAAATAAATTAATAAATAAAGGCTTACACACATTTTTCCAGAATGGCACCTTCTGCAATTCACTGTGAGTTTTTACCAGTGGTGCAAACTGCTTTCTTTTTGCTTGTAAACTCTTCTCTATGAGCAGGGCTCAGAGGAACAGGCTCAATTTGGCGCTTCTGCATTTTTCACTTAGTGGCAGACAGACCATTTAATCTGTGTGGTCCTGCTCTTACGTTTTAGGCATTAATTACACACAGTGTAATTAACACTGTCAGCCCTGTCATCTTTTAAGAGGAAATCAAATTATATCTGAATGAACCTGATTCACAGAGAATTGTGTCCTCTACACCAGCTACACTACAAGTGTTATTTTTGAGACTACGGCTGTCTGATTTATTTGGCGAAGTCACCCTAACTTTGTGAGTGAGCTGGGTAGAAAAATTTTCCACTCATCTGGTTAAACCAGACAGTTTGGTGGGGGGGACAGCAAAATGTGGCTAATAACTTTACAGCTACCTTTTAAATATTCTTCTATGTTGTGATAGCACAGACCCTAGTCTGTCTGATTTACTAGGATGTCCAAGAGTAAAGAGTGAAACTCAAGAAACCCTGCCTAAAAACTAACTTGGAAGAGGCCATTTTGAGTCAGAGCAGAATCTAGTCAAGCACATGGCAGAAATCCTGAAATTCCTGTGCGCTGTGGGCTTGGATATAGTTACCATATTTACCAACTTAACATGCATCATTATTTCGGGAACTGCATTGCAAGGCTTCATTATCCTGATATGATTATTCATATCAGAGCCATTTAAATAATCTCTTTCTCTTACTTTCTCACTTGCATTTGAATACTGGCATATGTGTGTGTGTGGGGGGGAAGCCTTAAAGAGAATAATCCCATAAGTACAAGCAGATGCTCAGTTTAAAAACCATGGACTACACAGACACCTATTGAGAGATTACCCTCTGACAGTAACGCTTCAAGTTATTTATGCACAAAAAGGTATGTGTCATATATACACCCGCCCACAGCATGCTATAATTTAGCAGAGCGACTAACACATGCTGTCAGGGGACTTCACTCTGGTCCTATCTTTGAAAATACTTACATAAGAGGTACTTAGAACAAGATAAATGCTACCCTTTTCAAGGCAAAGATGACTATTATTTGATTCTACTGTTCCAGAGGAGCAAGAGGGAAAAAAAGATTCTTAAGGATTAAGACTCTCTCGCTTGCCTTTGTACTGCATGCAGGTTTTTTATGACAAGCAGTTCATCACAGAAATCACACAATGGTGAAGAAGTAAATCTTCAGCGTCTGAGCACCTGGTGTATTCAGATTCAGAAACCACTCTTCCCACAACTGTGCAAACATTACTCTTTTAAAGCCAAACTGACGTGAAAAATTGAGCAAGATTCGCCTCTGCTCTCTCTCTCTAAGCTTTCATCTTCTAAAGCTGGTTCACTAAGATTCCAGAAAATCTCCTAAAGCACCTTGTAACAGGAGGGTCTACAGAGAGAATAAAAAACCTGCTATTTGGCATCAGTTGTATGAATCAGAAACAAAGAGATCACTGGTCCGGTTTAATTCTTTCGAATTTAAGGAGCCCTATGTGAAGTCCTTTGTGGAAATAGCACCTTGACATAAAATAGGATGTGGTCAATGGTTTAAATGCTTATGAGTTTTGGGAAAAGGCATCATCTGATACAAATAT